GTTTTTAAGCACTGTAACCATTGAAATTTCGACAGCTTTTTAAATCAGCATCGTCGAATTTAACCCCATTGTTGACAGTTTAGCTGTGTCGTAGGTTAGGACACAATTTTCCCGCAGCGCCGTCTAGGCTCGGTTTAATTAAAATTCAGGTGTAATTAACATTAATTGGAGGATTGGGGGATGCTTTGAAAAGTGTAACGGTTATTAAAAAAAACAAACTTAAAAGTGCAACAGAAACTCGGGACAAATCTCAATGAAGGGTAGGCCGATTACAACGGTGTTATCAATATCTTTTTAAACCCCCCCCCCTCCCACTTCTTCCATCCTGTTATTGTCGAATGAAGATAAGACGTAATAGATAGTTACTGAGACCACGGCATGAAGTAGGTCGTCACCTTCTCGGCAGACTGGGAACACTCGGCATCGGCCTCGTGCTGCCTTGTGTGTTTACATTTGATCTCAAGGTCACGACCCTGGCGCTCGGGGTCAACGCGAAGTGCAGCTGCACTTTTATCGAAGGGGGGAGGGGAGGGGGGCGGTGACAAGGGCATACCGGATCGACAATGTATGTGTGATGGTAAACAATAGGGAATTGGGGGGGGGAGACATAAATAGGTTAGAGAAAAAAATTATTTATAGCGTAGGGATAGGTGCATAATATTGATTAAGTGCATAATGAGGGATTGTGAACAATGATTGAAGAGATTTTGGAAGGATTGAAGTATATCATCATTGATCTGTAGGGTTAGAGAGGGGGGATACAATTAATCAAGTGGACTTGGTTGGATATAGGACAATCATCAAGGGGGAAAAAGGAACAGGGGGAGGCGTGGGGGGGGGGGGGGGGGGGGGTAAACAAACACGAAGTCGGCCCGATCCACTTTAGGGAATACAGTGACGTAATTAATCATCGTAAACAGGCCTGTTGCGAGTGGTGACCTTTTCCCACGTCAACACAAACACGTCCCGTCATCCTCACATCAAGGTCATCGTGGGGTCGTTGGTGCCGTGTATTGTAGTCTGTCTTTCTTTGTTGTGACGCGCGGGATGTTGTTGTAGATGCAGAGTGTGGTGGTCTGTCTTTCTTTGTTCTGTAACAAACTGAATGTTGTTGTAGGTGCTTCTTATCCTCCTTTGTTGTGTGACGCGCTGGTATTTGTTGTAGGCCAAATTAAAAAAAAACAACTTGTCACGTATGTTTGCTCTGTGCCATTTGCCCCAGTCCTTAAGGCATTGTGTGTCGACTTATTTACTTATTGCTATTGACAGACGTTGTCAAATGATTTAGTCATTCAACTTTTTAGAAAAAAAAAGTGGTATTCCATACACACAATTTCAAACCTAACCCCAAATGATTCACCAGTTCTAAAACATAATGGATACCTTTGTTCATAGCTAAATGGAAATTCGCATTACACTACACTAGCAATAAACACAAATCCGAAGCAGGTACGGTTAAACAATTTTTCGTTTCCTTTTATATGACCCTCCTCCCCTTCTTTATGATACATGTGATCTTACATGTGAAACCAAATTCCGAATGGCATACAATCACCCGTCCATTCTTTTTGGGGAGGCGCTGCTAATGAATAGACAATGTTATCAACCCCCCCCCCCCCCCTCCCATCCCCAGTTGACTTTCCTTCTAGTACGTACGCCACAGTTGTGCTACGCTAGTACTCCCTGCATTAGCTTTTCCTCCAGATTTAAACCCTCGACAGCTGATCAACAACCCCCCCCCCCCCCCCCCGCCTCGTAAGTACGTCACCGTTCTGCAACACCAGCTTAACTTCAACTGTACCTCCAGATTTAAGCCCTCGACAGCTGATTAACAACCCCCACGCCCCCCCCCCCTCCCGTGACTCTCGTACATACGTCACCGTTCTGCAACACCAGCTTAACTTCAACAGTACCTCCAGATTTAAAACTCACGTCAGCTGATCGATTTTTAAAAAAAAACGTTTCATCTCGTCAATTATCTCGTGCGTTTGTTGGTGAAGTTCGTATCAAGCACCGATGGATGCGTGGTGCACCTTAATGTAGTGGAACACCGGTATCGATTGGTTGGCCTTCGTGGGTTAATTTAAGATTGTGTGGTCGTTTGGTTTGTCGTTAAATGACTGCTGGTCGTTAATCATTAATTTATATATATATATATATATATATATAATATTATATATATATATATATATATAATTTAAATTAGCTAGTAAAAATTTTATTAATGTGTTTTTATTTACTACTCAGAAGAAAATACATACATTATATGTCTATTGTTTATTTAAAACAATTTATAAATCACATTCCTCTATGTTTAACTTTAATAGTGCAGTATCAATTTCGTTTTTAATGAATAGAAGAAATAATTTGGTATCACACAATATAAATCGTGGATCCCTAGCTAAACAATTGAGAACCATCGGGCATATTGAAAGGGGCGTAACTGTACTCTGTCTCATAGTTTTGAATTAGCTTGGCTTGTTTTACGACATGCCTAACCTATAAAATGTAGCGCTACACACTGCTGGTATCCGAAGGTCATTACCGACTCTTTGTATCGGCTACTTGGGTCTTGTCCAGATAAGCCCCGCCACTAATGCAAAAAAATACGCGCTAAAGTTAAGTCCCGCCACTTTCTGCCGGCTCCAATCTAATGCACGCGCGTAACCTTGAGGGTTAGGGTTTAAGGTACCAAAATACAGGCTTTTTAACTTAGCGCCCCCCCCCCCCCCCCACCCCGGGACAAACAATGATCTTGCCCCCCTCCCCCCCCCCATATATTTTTTATATTTATAATGCAAAACTGCAGCTAAAATGAGCTTTTATTTATATTTTTCAACCCATTTTGGCGCGCCCTTGGGTCGGCGCCCGGGGACATATGTACCTCCCCCCCCCCCATCGCTACGCCTCTGACTGGGTTTATCTGGTCAAGATCCAGCCACTTTATTCCCCGAACCTTTGACATTTAGTTAGTTACTGGTCGCAATAAAGGTGACCGTAGTTATAATAATGGTTAACCTATTAAAAATATGACAGTTTTTGTAAATATGACCCTTTTATATAAAAACTTAAATCGCCTACGTGTTTCCGTGTAAAAGCGTAAATTGACCTATCTAAAAATCGCATAAATACCTCGGCCAAATCCATTAATTGATCTCCATTAAGATAGATATCTGCGACTGAAACATAAGGAAATGTATTGTAAAGTCGCTCAGGGGTATCTATATAAGAATCTAACTGCTAGCACCGTTTTCTATTACGCTGCCATACCGGCCACCTCGAGTGGAGCAGAAAGCGGACGCCCAGGGAAACATTAGGTGGCGCTGCCTTGACATTTCAGTTCCCTGATTAACCCGGGTGTTTGTAGCTGCTGTAGAGCACGTGGCCAGGGTTGATGGACCTAGTTGTGACCTTCACATTGGACAGCGAGGCTTGCGATGGGTTAGGACGGCTAGGAGCGTCCTTCTCTGATTATAGATAGTGCGTCCATAACAGAGGTCGGCAGGGGGATATTATTTTTGGAATATAACCCTCTAGGGAACGTCGGGCCCCTTAGATAGTAATGGTAGCTGTACTTGTACGGAATGTGTGTTAAGGTGTAGTTTTTTGTCATCATTTGGCCGAGTTTTTGACCAACATTTAGGTGAATTGTTGACCAACCTTTGAATGACTCAGTTATTGAGCAATATTTGACCAACCTTTAGCAAAATTATTGACCAACATTTGATAACTATTGAGCAACGTTTGACAATTAATGACCAACATTTGATAACTATTGAGCAACGTCTGACAACTATTGACCAACATTTGACAATTATTGACCAACACTTGACTCAATTATTGACAAACATTTGACAATTATTGACCAACATTTGACAATTATTGACCAACATTTGACAATTATTGACCAACATTTGACAATTATTGACCAACATTTGACAATTATTGACCTACATTTGACAATTATTGACCAACATTTGACAATTATTGACCAACATTTGACTCAATTATTGACCAACATTTAACTCAACTAATGACCGCATTCAACTAAATATTTGACCAAGATTTTGCGTTGGTGACAAATGTTGATCACAGCCAGAAGGTACCCCACCTATAACTTTACTGTAGGTACTCATTGAGTCTGATAGGATACCACAAAGTTGATAATAATAATACTTACAAAATTACTTTGCTATCTCTCAATTAAAGTTAAAAGTACCCACAGTCCTTCTGTTCCATGATTTTAATTGTTTCATTTTACATGTGTTTAGTCTAATCTGATACATTAAATACATTGTGGGAGTGTTCACTGATGGTAAAATCATAACAATGTGATAATCACTTGTGTGACTGTAATATGCTATATATAATCCTATAACATGTTTATATCTTGAGAATCCATGAAGCATATAAAATAGGATCATTTTCCCACGAGACATTTTATTCAATAGAAATTTAACCCCCCCCCCCCCCACCCTCCCTATTTTGCAATTATTCACTGATTAAAATCTCATATCTGCTGTAGTAAGGCTGAGAACAAAACGCCACATGAGCCAATTAAAACAGCCCCCCCCCCCCCCCCCCCAACTTTTTTTTTAGGTATCATGTGCATGGTGAATACAACCCGAATCAGCACACAAAACCCTCTATCAGACTTCATGAGCCAGATTGGCTTTCCCCAACCTCCCCAATAAAATGTACTTTATGTGGCCAAAATTTAATCAATAATCAACTTGGCATGTTTGCCAAATTTATCCCTGGCCAGGATAGCACATGAAAATCAAAACAAATAACCCAGTTTTTTTTTGTGTGGCTTTTTCCCCATCTGCACCATAAATTATTTTATGATTCTCTTCATATATTTTGGTCCACGTAAAATATAAAAAACCATTAATTGAATAAAGAAGTAGAAGGTGTATTTTAAATAAGTTTTTAAATTGTGTTCAACAAGTTTAAATATGAATAAATAATCCTAAATTGTGTTTACATTTTATTTTCAGGGGGACCTGAAGCACAGTCAGTTTATCATTTTAACTGTTCATGACTTAGGATGCAATCGTAAGTCAATTCAGTTTTTTTTTATACATTTGACTGCTTCCAAAAATCTTGCACATCACAGTTGACTGTTACAGTTACATATTTGTACCACACATATTATGTATGTAATCAGAGGCTAATATACTGTTACCAGAGGTGTTGCAAGGAGAGGAGGGGGGGGGGGTTAAAACAAAGACATGAAAGCTTTTATGAGGGGGGGGGGGTTGGTGAGGCGAAATAAACAGCAAAATTTAAAGGGATTAAAAAAAGGGGAGCGACACCTGACATAGCGGCACCTGACATAGCGACACCTGACATAGCGACACCTGACATAGCGACACCTGACATAGTGACTCTGCTGACTGTCACCACACTATATAGACATCACACATATAAAGTAAGTAACCATTGGCTAGTTTGGTGTTACCATTACATACAGACACCACACATAACATGTAATCTGTTGCTAGTTTACTCTTACAATAACTCCACGTAGACATCACAAATAATGTTTATCAGTGGCTAATCCACTGTTACCATAACACAGACACCCCACATATAACTTACATCACATGAAAGACTGAATCAATGTCAAGCCAGAAAACTCCAACTTTTGTCCCCCAGATTCCATGTGGACCAACTTCTTGGCCTCACCCTCCATGGAGGAGATCAACAGGCGGGGCGCCTTCATACATGTGGATATCCCTGGCCAGGAGGATGAGGCACCTGACCTACCTGCTGAGTAAGTGACCTTTGACCTGTCTGTTAGGTGACCTTTGACCTGTCTGTTAGGTGACCTTGCCACTTACCTGTCTGTCCCTCTTCACACCTTTTTGTCTTTGCTAAAATAAAAGAATGTGATGCCAGCTCTACAATGAGTTGCCAATGTCCACTACGCAATGTCCACTACTCTTATGGCCCTAGTGGTCGTAGAATGCACTACTGTGGTACCAGTGTTTAATTAGATCTATCAAGTACTGAGAATAATTAGCAATCAGTTTACACTGCATGTAAATCAGGCAATTTATTTTCATGCTCACTAATTGAAATGGGATATAATATACAAAAAAATATGTTGGCTTAATTAAAAAAAAATAGAGCACTTTTTTGTCACATGATCAATAACTGAATTACCACAACTATTATGGAAATGTTTCCTAATTAAATCTCTTTATTTACAAGCTGTTCCCCTCCCAATTACCATATTAACAGATGCTGCTTTGATTCTATAACAAATATTCTAATTTATGAGGGCACTGATATATGTATTATTTAGATTTACCTAGTGCAGTATTACCAAGTGAATTTGTAATTAGTTTGATCATAAATAATATCTAATCCTCTAGAATTTTTTTCTTGATGGTGCAAATTAAAACCAGTTTGTTGTAACTCCCGAGTTACCATTTCCCCATTTTTAAAAAGTCTAAATAATTCTTGGAATTCATACGAGTATCAATTTTGATGTAACAATGATTTAATCATTAACAATTTGTATCAGTTCTAGATGTTTGTAGTGTATAATATAAGGAAAAATTATTTTTTTTAAAAAGTGTTTGCAAAATTTGCCAAATCACCCTAATATTTAATATATTATTTTTTTTTAATAATTATTTTTTAACATACTGCAATTCTAACTTTTAAAAAGAATGTATTTCATGTTAAAATTGTAATGAAACAGAAGCTGCCAGTGTAATTGTCTAGGTAAGATAGGTTATTCAGTGCGAGTACAGGTTAGTCGGGGGGTCAGTTCATATTTTATTCACTGCTGCAGCCATCACTAGTCAGCCATGCCAGTTTGTCATTAAAAAAAGTTTCACTTCGCTGCAGTCAAAAAAAAAAAATTAAAGCCATATTTTTACTATATATATGACGACTGAAGAAGTTGTTTTATCATTTAGTTAATTATTTTCACTTTATAATTTGGTTATTTTATCATTGAATTTTTGTTGTTGAAATGACACACTTCTAAAGTGCCTAGCTGCGTTGTACAATTTATTTTTAAATCGTTTTCATCAAACGCTATTGAATTTAATTTTTAACAGCTCTGGCTAATCTAAATGGTAGCTCTGTTTCATTGTGTGGTTTGACCCCTGAAATCCTGAAGATTTTAAGTCAAATTTTGTAGAAATCCAAGTTATTTCTGTATTGAAAATAACAATAATTAAATCTCCATTTGACTTCAGACTACCCTGTGAGGGAATGAAATAAATAAATCTCCACCAAATGTCTTGTTTAAAGGGTTGTGATAAAAGTCTTGCTCCCACTCCCAGTTAACTGACCACTAGGGCAACGGCCAGCCTTTGCTTGTGATGGTGTGGTTTAGTTTTGTTTGAAATTTGTTTAACACAACTTTTTTATCATTTGGATTGTACATGTCAAAAAAGTAGAGTTGCCTGATTTTAATTTAATTTAAATTTTTGTTTCAAATACAAAAATTGCATCTCAAATGCTAAGTTTTTTTTAAAAAAAAGGTTCTTATTTCAATGTAATTAAAACTTACTGATTTGAGAATCAATGCATCTAGACTATATAGAAGTAGGTTTTTTTGTGTCTGGATTGAATTGTTCATGTTGTTGGTATTGCTTGACCTCATCTGGTAGAAAACATTGGAATTCTGTTCCATGCTAGGGATAGCTGTGGTTCTGTTCTGCCTTCAATTTTCTAGATCTAAATGACGCTGTCTTTTTAATGCCTGGGTTCTTTTTTTAAGACCAGTTGCAGTTACAGTAGAGCTGGTCTGAAAATACAGACTGCTGTTAAATAATTTAAAAAAATAATAATAAAATAAAAAACAGCTTTCGGGGCAAAAAAAAAAATAAATAAGAGGAAAATCAAGCTGTCTGACAGTTTAAAATGATGTGTCAGTTTTTTAGCATGTAGCACACACTGACTAGTTTGGATGATTGTTAACCTTTCATCTTTCTGTCTGCTGCGACAGATACCCGCCCAAGCACAAGTCAGGTTTAAACATGTGGTAATTAATATCTCATTATTTGATGTGAATGAGTTTATGACGTCATCATTTGTGGGTCTCCTGAATGACGAGAGACCCTAGAATGAACCAGCTGCCTGTTATGGCTATTTTTTTTTTAATTTCTCTTTGTACACTGCCATCTATTTTTGCGTTGCCTCGTTCCTCTATATTTTCACTCTATTATTTTTCGTTTACTTTTTACTGTTATGATTTTGCAATTACAGAATGTTTTTTTTTTTTTAATTTCTTCTTTCCATTAGCTTCTTTTAATGCTATTTTAATTTATTATTTGCATTTTTTTCCATGCATTTTCTTTTAAAACGAAAATTTTAACTAGAAAAAAGTGTGCATGAACTACTGACTGCATGGATAGATTAGAATGATACACCTCAACCACTGCGTGAGTTGATAAAGTAGGGATAGCTAAAGCAAGCTATAGATCTAGTCATTTGTTTTTCAGCCATCGTTAAAAAACAACCCAATATTGATAAATAGATATAATTATAATTGTTTCTTAAGTTTTGTTGGTGAATCATTCATTTATAAAAACGATTATTTTGTCCATATTTTCCATTAAATTTCATACAATTTTAAATCATTTCTGTACCTACATTTTTACTTTAAAATAAATCATTTCTGTTCATTTTTACTTTAAAATCGCTAGTGATGGCTGCAGTGTTTCATCATTTTAAAAATGTCAAAACCATATTTAGCTTGTTTGCATTTTTGAAAATCCTAGCAAACAGACTAATTTTTTTCTTTTTCAACATTAAAATGTGTGAGGTTATTTAAATTTATATTGGAATAAAAAGACTCCTCCCTCACCCCCTAACCTTAACTCCTGTTAATGTTCAACAAATGGTTAATCTCTTTACATCGACCATGAACAGTGACAAGGGAGACAAATCCGTGGCCCAATAATCAATTATATTAATTAGGTCACTTGATTGATTTTTTAAAACGGTTTTATGTTGTCTAAAATGTTCCAAAATATACAAACTAGCTTACACTTTTATAAATCGATTAGCTGTTAATTCACAGACTTAAGAGTATTTTCTTAGAAATTTATATAAATCTCTCAGTATATTAGTACTATCAGAAACAATTCGAAAAGTGCTGGTATGTTTTTGTGGTTGTTGTTAGTTCTGATATTGTGGGTACCTTTTATTTGACTTGATGTAATGTCGTAAAACGGCTTAATGTCGTAAGGAAGCTTCGTGCCTAGTGCTGTATTACTTGTTGTACAATGTAGCCTACATTGATCTCTACACATAAATAGAAAATTATTTTTTCTCTAATTAGATCTTTTAGAAAACCAGACAGCCAGTAAACAAATGACTGTAATAATTGGCCCCGAGGCATTTGGGTGCTGAATTAATTTGTTTGTATCATTATAAACCTTGTCTAAGTTTTGTCGTGCCTGAGTGCATAGGCCTTCATCATTACAATCTTATTTTTATTGTGTCTTGTATAAGATTTCATCTCGTTGTTTAGACAGACAGTAATGGCCATAGGCGTACTAATGCGGAGGTTCAACAGTACAGCAGCAGCATCGTTCGCCGATTAAAAAGAAGATTATTATATTCTCATAATGTACAGATTTAACATGTCCAAGAGACAACGAATTCAGATAAAAATCCCAGTGTCATTGCATTTTGAAATAGCCTATTACTTTTTCGCGAGGTTTGGACTTCGGTGGCGGCTAAAGTTTGTAGGTCTATAAACTTACCGTTTGTAGGTCTACAAACTTAACGTTTCTAGGTTTACAAACTGAACGTCTGTATCTCTAAACACTTAACGTTTGTAGGTCTACAAACTTAACGTTTGTAGGTCTACAAACTTAAAGTTGCCCAGCTCATACTTACATCAGTTTGTAATCCCTATATTTAACGACTTATTTTGGTATCTAAAAGTCCACACCGGCATATTACTATCACAGCTCGACTTGACTTAGTCCTCTTTGCTCCTGTTGTAACATTTAGATCGCAAAATTAATACAATTAATACAACATATACTATTGTGTAATTTCAACTTACCAGATATATATATATATATATATATATATATATATATATATATATATATATATATATATATATATATATATATATATATATATATATATATATGAAAAAGTAATATCTGCCTTCCACTAGTCACCCACAGAAATTTCAGTTGGTAGCTCAGATTCGTCTGGCATTTGGTAATAAATAAAAGCCAATGAAAAACGATAGTTACACGGAACGAACAGCACTTTTGTTTACTTCGTGTCTACATTCGTTTCTTTTTTTTTATGACCCCGCGAGTTTCGGTTTTGGCTCTAGGTTTAGTTGTGTGCGCGTGTTGTTGCACTTCATTTTTTTTGTTTGACATATGAGACTGGCCTTGACCCTTAGGGCCCAGTCAATCAATATGAATCTGTACTGTTGCCAGCCAATCCTGAATTCATGGCTTTTTCGGTTTTGGGAGGGGGGGGGGGGATCGGGGGGGGGGGGGGGGGTCGGTGAAGGATTGTGGCAAAAAAAAAATTGTGTATAGAGCGGGGAAGATGTCTGCAATGACGAAGTACCGACGTAGTGAAACTGAAGAAAGCAGAAAACAGACTTATTTTTTCTCCCCTAAAGTATGCTATTATTTCGGGACTTGGCTAAACTTGTAAACACTTTCAAATAGATTTACAACTCGGTCCTGTCAGGATTGTGGAGTCTACTAACGCGAGGAAGTGGGTAGGAAAATTAAATAATAAAATAACACCCCCCCCCCCCCACCAACTTGTATGTTTTTGATTGATGAACCATTAGCACTTTACCAACACACTTTAGAGTCATCAGTCTACTGGGTATTTTTTATTTATTTTTATTTTTGCCAAACATGGCTAAGATTATGCTTTTTAAGTTTGGGTATATATTCTATGGAGTGTATCTGCATATCTAAGTAATTTTTTAATTATTGTTCAACATTTGTTAATTAATTACGTGTTTCATACACATTTTCATGTACTTATAATTTCGAAAACGCGATTAATGTATAAGAACTATAATTTCCCCATTGACAGTCGTCTTCTTCTGTTCCCACCCCCACCCCCCCCCTCCACCCCCCTCACCAATTTCTACCCACTCTCCCATCAACTTTTCATTCATTACCTCCTACTTCTACCAAACGACCAATTCAACGTTCGTAACTTCCTACCATTTCTACCCACCCACAAACTTTTCACAACCCACCATCTCCACTCACCAACCTTTTTAAAAGCTTCCATATCTATCCAACAAATTACCCAACATTCATAATCTCCAATTTCTATCCAACCACTTGTTAATATTCATAACTTCCTCCCATTTTTAACTACCCACAAACTTTTCACAACCTCCAACCAAATTTAAAAAAAAAAACTCCTATATCTATCCACCAATTACTCAAACATTCATAATCTCCAATTTCTATCCAACCACTTGTAAACATTAATAACTTCCTCCCATTTTTAACCACCCACCAAACTTTAAAAACCTCCTATATCTATCCAACCAATTACTCAAACATTCATAATCTCCAATTCCTACTCACCAGCAAACCGACGCGCGTGTCCCACTTATCGATCTATCCTACAGGTTATGTTTGTCTGCGCGAGACAGCTCTCCCTCGTGACCTCATGCCTCGTTTTCGATGTAAAACATCACTTTAATTATTGACGCAATCAGAAGCCCTTATTTTCGCGTTATAATGTTTGTTTTAAATTGTTTTTATCATCTGCTTGTTGTTGCTGCTAAAAAAAAAAAACAACTGGTAAAGTGCGAACCAAGTTCATCCTTCAGTATTTAAAAGCCATTACACCCCCCTCCTCCCACTGCATTCCCTAACGCGAGTAGCGTTAAAGTTGACATGCTCACGTTCAATCAAATCTACTCGGATCTCAATTAGAGCACGATCAATTACGATCGCTCGGTTGATTGATACAAACATAACAAACAAGAGTAATTAAACAAATGTTCAACTTTTTAAAAATTGACCGGCATGATTATCAACCAGACCCCCCCTTCCCCCACCCCTGGGGTTTTATGTTGTCCGGCATCACTTTTAATAAGCCCCCCCCCCCTCCCCTGAGGCTTTCTATCGTCACGTTTTCTGTTCATTATGTTTGCTTTAAAAAGCCCATCAACTAGACTACCTAGAGAATAGTACATTGAGAAAGCCCATAAACTGGATAATCTATTGTCGAAATGGTACATTTAAAAGTCCATAAACTGGATCATCTATTGATGAAATGGTGCATTTAAAAGCCCAGAAAAAACTGGATTATCTCTTGATGAAATGTTACATTTAAACGCCCATAAACTGGATTATCTATTGATGAAAATCGTTGCTGGCGAATCTACTTGTTGTTGGCGAACACCACTGACATTGTTGGCGAACACTACGAACGTTGTCGGCGTACACCACTGGCAATGTCGGCGAACTCAGCTATCGTGTCTCCCTGCATTTAACCCCAGATAACCTCGACCCCCTCAGGCTGCTCACACACAACAGGTGAATTGATTTCTTGCCAAGGTCACCGCGACCCTGAACTTTGTGTGAAGATCTTTGCGTTTTTTAATGAGTGCGCTTAATTCGGCGGCACTTGCACAGACGAGGACTAATTAACCATAACGATCTGGGAATAGCTTTTTGATCTACCCGCAGGAATCTTTGTATTGTTAAATCTGACACCTGCGTGTAAAAATAGGAACATGAAACAACAGCCCGGCGTGGGAGAATATGTGCTGTAGATCAAATTACATCGATCGTTAAATGTATCGCGATATCGAGGGGCATCATATATATATATATATATATATATATATATATATATATATATATATATATATATATATATATATATATATATATATATATATATAATCAAATTAGCATGATTTATTCTAAACGTATGTTAACCTACACAAGTTTTCACTATTGTTGAAGCTTAGCTAAACTCTGACCACTGTCCTTTTATCCTAAAGCC